GCGTTGTAAACCGTTTCCGTCGAAACGCGCGAATAATGCACGACGAACCGGTGCACGCGTGTCAAAGCGCGGGACAAAACGCGAGGCCGCGACGTTGAAACGCACGACGCGGCTTACGGTAGCCCGCCGCGGATTATGAGCTACTACTACGTACCCGATGAATTGAGGGGCGGGCGAACAATGAACGCGCCAACCAACTGAGACAAAGATGTATGTTCAGGCCGAGATTTTGTTCCGCGCGCCGGATATAAACGGATCGACGAACGCGACATATTCGTGGCGGGGAATGGAAATGGCGGCGTATGCAAAGTCGCCTCGTGATCCTGTTTCGAACGCGCGTCCCGCTCTTTGAACAGATTGCTGGTTTCTTGGGAATTGAACGAAGGGGAAGGAGGAGAAATTTTGCGAGTTTATTATCAGAGACGAGGGAATAGATTCGAATATTTTTTACACAAAATCTTTATTTTTCATATATCGTACAGAAAACAGTTTATCGCTGTTATTACACGCATAAGGTATGTGATCAACAAATTGAGAGATTCTTTAATGTGAGCTCAATTATTTTAATTATTATAGAATTACGTCAAATATATCACGTTATGCATTATACTCTTAAATAAGATACTAACTCTTCGCTCAAAGACATTTATAAAAGGATTGTTATACTTTCAACTTATTAATTGCAAAATAAAATATCATCGTTGCTTCGAGTTTCTTGTCAACGTTGAAACTTTTCATCGACAGATTCTTTGAATAATTTAGAAAAGAAAAAGCTGTACGTGATAATTTCAAAATATGAAAATATCAAAGGCAGCTCGAGACGAAACGGTAAAGGGCAGCGACACCTGAAAGGCCGATTCACGCCACCTCGAACGAAAACTTCTCTTCTCGATCTTCCCCGTCTCTTCCATTGCCTCTTTCTCAGTCGTAGAGAGAGAGAGAGAGAGGGATACACGGCCGAGCGTGGCCGGAAACCAACCCTCCCCATAGCAACTGCATCCCGATGAATACCGTTTGCCGGGACAAAAAGGCTGGCGCTGCGGGTACGAAAGTGAAAATAATTTAATTCGAAAGCGCGCCGTTCCGTTTCCTTTTGCTTTGGGTCCCCGATTGTCCCGGTGAATGTCGCGCGTTCCGTGACGTCGCGACGTGTAAAACGGCCGCCGCGTTCGGCGGCAGGAGGAGGGGAGGAGGGATATTGATGGCGTGTGGAAACACGGCGAGGGAGACGTGGATCGCGTATTGTGCGAAACATCGAACAAAAGGGACCACGATAAACAATTCCTGTTACAGTGGAGGAGAGACGAGAACACCCCATATTTCCAAGATAACTTGTGGTTCCGTCGACGGCAACGAGTGGTGGCTCGACGGAGAGAGGCGTGGTGTCTATTCAGAATTCACGCGACGCCGCCTGTTTTCCCTGTTTTAATGCGAACACCATTTCCGTGGTATCCGAGTTTCCAACTGGCTGGAACGGATTAGATTAGGCTGCGTGCGCGTGAAATAGGATTTTAATGATATTTCTTCCCTTTGGACGGGAGGGTAAACGTCTTTGGGACGGATCGAGCTGACGAGGGACATCTCGTGTGGGTAAATTAGGGAATTTGAACGGAGAGGGAGGATTCTTTGGATGATATTTTTGAGAATGCAGAGAATGGATTTTAAGTTTAATTTATTAGATGGTATTTACGAGGTTGGGGTATTAATATTTAGGGATGAAAAGTATTTGGAAATTAAGAAATTTGAACGGAAAGAAAGTTTTTGAAAATTTTTTTATTAAATTTTACGTTTATTTGCAAATATGACACTTTTTTCAAACCATAAAAATCAAACTCATGCGAAAGGAATAGATAAAATATTCTCTTAAAAATTATTCATAATTATTAAATAATACATTATTTTTCCAATACGAAAACAGAATTAAAATTAATAATAATTATATACGTATTTGCAAAAATATGACACTTTTTTCAAACTCGTGCAGAAGGAATAGATAAAATACTCTCTTAAAAATGATTCACAATTACCACCAAGTGTGAAAAGCTAAACGATCAGTGATATTTTTATCTTTCTTTTTTTAAAGCGACCTTTGACCGAGATTAATCATCGATCAATAATCAATTTCCTCCTCTCGTCTGTTACAGGTAAACCGGCCAAATTACAAGCAAACTTGTAAACAGCCTCATCAAAGTGAACCATTTCGATTGGACGACACTCTCCCAAAAGGTAGCCCACTTCCTCTAGATCGATTCTGCCTATACTCGATACGCGACTCGCCTCGAATTTCCGCATTTCCTCTCCGAGCCGATATCTTGATTTCGCCAGGGAATTCCGTCCGCGACCTCCTCTGGTTACGGATATGTTTATTCGACTGCAATACCTATTTGCATGCAATAACCTGGACTCACGCGTGATTTAGAGGGGTGGTTGACTCGTCCTGGCCTTTGATTCCGTTTGTATATATAAACAAGGCAGTTTGTCTCCGTAATGAATCGACGATCATCGCGAATATATTTATTCTACGATATAAACGCGATGTTTTGTGTCGAGAGCGAGGAAAATGTAAAGGTCCTCTCGGTTCGGGAGAAAAATTCGTGGAATTTTGCTTGGAACTTTTTCTATAAATATTATCGTTAATGTAACCACGCTATTTGCAGAGTGGTATTTGTTTCGTCTATCTTGCGATAGGGATCGAAAAGTGGATCCGATTGTTTTCGTAAAATTTTCTTTCCATCAAACGGGTTTATTTATAGAGGGATCATTGAATCGAACGCCTACTACTACTTTCGAAAATCTTCGATATCTCTTCAAGCGTTTTTATTCTTAATAATTTCGAGAGATCCAAGATATCTGAGAATGTTTTATTAGATCGATCGAAAGGAATAGGAAATAAAGAAAAATTAAATATATAATCAAAATCTATGTCAAATATATTATTCTTTAAATTTAAAATCTACGGATTATTGTTAAATTCGTTTTTGACAATTTTCATCGAGTATCACTACTTTATTTCATTAAACGTTTATTGATCGAGCACTTACGAGAAACTCGTTCAATCGATCGATCGATAAACCATTTAACTCTCAAGTGACTCGATAGATTCAGCGAATTTAGTTGCGATTTTGAGAAATTTTTGGTGACTTTCGACGAACCTCTCCTCGAGTCTAACTTCTTGGTGGTTCGAGAACTTTGCTTTTAACCGTGGCCGACTTTCATCGAGGAGTATACCACGGTTGAAAATTCGAAACATTTTGTTGACAAGTGGATATCGATCCGAATTTTATTAATCAGAAACGAGTTGATAAAAATTAAATACGAGTTTTTTGGATTATTGGAAAACGAAGGTTCGAATATAGGTACTTTTTGAAAAGAATTCAAAGGAGGATAAATAAGAAGAAAGGAGAATATCGATTGTAAGCTCAAAGAGAATTTTCGAGAATGATATAATTTTCTCTATTCATAGAGAATAAGTGAAAACGTTCACGTGGAATTTTCAATTTAATTTTGTTCCTGTTGTCGCAAAAAAAAAAAATATTTTCACAAATTTCAAACATTTTTCGCCTGAAAAATTTTTAGTTTATCGAAGAAGAAATATGTATTGATTTAATTTGGAAAAATTATTGTAACGATTTATAATTTTTAAAATGAACCATTAAAAATATTTTGATGCTTTTTAATCGGTAAATATAATTTATAATAATTTTAATAATAACTTTATCACGGCAAAATGGTAAAAGAAATAAATTCTAATTGAAATATTATTCACAACTTTACAAAATAGCTGGTACAATCATTTTGGTTAAAATTGGTATTTCAAAAATGAAATTTCATAAAATATTTTTACGATTTCAATTCGATTCGCGATATTTTCGACAAATTATTCAATTTGTCCATTTTTAATTTACAATAATTATATTTTGATATAAAGAAGAAAATGAAATATACAAAGGGAAACAAGCAAACGTGTAATACGATGTAACAATCGTGCCACATTCTACTAAAATTTCTCTTCTCTTCTGAATTTTGTTGCAAATTTCGGGATCGATATTTATAACAATTGAAAAAGTTTGTCGTTCAATAATATGCAACTCGAAATAAAAAGTTTTTTTTTTTTTTTTTGTTTCCCAGAACAAAATTACCGATTCGAATATAGAAGAATATTTTTCCCACGATTGGTGGTATTGCATACAATCGATAAATAAATCCTGTCGGTGGAATACTGTTTCGTTTCCATTGTTACGTAACGAATTTTTATCCAATGTTTATACATCTGGATTAAAAACTATAAAGTATTCAAGAAAAGACTCGTTCATGTCGCATTAAAGCTTAAGTTTTCGTGTAAATCCGTCGATTCTCGAAACGGATTGGCCAGGATACAATGACTGACTGGTCGAGATAAAAAAAAAAAAAAAAAAAAATTTTTCAAAAATTCAAAAAATATCGTTTGTATCGGGGTTCTGTAAACGAAAAAAAAAAAAAAATTTTTTAAAAATCCAAAAAATACCGTTTCTATCGGGTCTCTGTAACGAAAAAAAAAAAAAAATTTTTTAAAAATCCAAAAAATACCGTTTCTATCGGGTCTCTGTAACGAAAAAAAAAAAAAACTTTTTTAGCTCTGTACATCGCAGATAACTTTAAAGTAAAAATGGAATATTTTTGAAAAAGGAAGAGAGAAATGGAATCGAGTCTTTCGAAATAATAGTTTGAACGTGTTATGTGTGTAAATGTTTTGCGATCGTTCTTCTTTCGTTAATCAGTATACATTCGTTTTTTTTTCTTTTTCTAGCAAGAGACAAAGAGACCGCTTGTTACAATTTTAATCTCATTATCTTCGTTAAGAGAATGAAGAGTAACGAAAGGGTAGCTTCTAACCAATAAACTTGTCAATGCTCTTTAAATCAACAAAAGAATCCCATTGTGAAAAGATCACAAGCTTTTCCGGTAATTACCTAACTATTCTAATTAATTCACGAATTAATTCGTTCCATATAGTTGAAATCGTTTCCACTAATTTTAAAGAAACAAAATTTATCAAAATCTATACTATTTATTGATCAATTTTTTTTTCAAATTATTGAAAATTTATCATATTTCGAATATAATCGATTTATTATATTTTTCCGAAAAAAAAAAAGATTATTGACACTTATATATCTCGTATATACCTATCAATCAATAATCTTAATTTTAAAATATTGTTAAAATTTTTAAGAAAACCTTTTATTTTAAAATCTCCTCCATATTATTCGATATAATTTTTTTGAGATCGATTTTACGTATTTATCTTCATCTCTCTTGAATTTCATTTCCAAGAGCTCTTTTACGTAAGTAAAGCAAGTAAGATAATTTTAACTTCGTTCGTGACCAATGTCGATCGAGAATATTTATTTCGAGGTAACAACACGAGTTGTTACGGCGCGAGGATTTTTTTGCCCGGAAGGATTTATCGGGGCCGACATCTTCCGAAGATGAAATTTACATAACGAAGCCGGCATGGCCCCATCACGGCATCGAAATGTTTGGACCCGTGTCGCTGAATATTAATTTATGATGAAATTGATACCTCCGCTTCACGCCTTTCATTTCTCTGAATTACGATCCCTCCTTAATGATAATTTTTTTCCGCGCGCAAGGCGGATACCAATTTGACCGGTTCGCAAGATTTTTCGCCCGATAATAAGCCCACTTGTTTGGAGAGCCGATTGTTTGATTTAAGATACGCCATTTCAATATTAATATCTCCGTACTTGAAAAAAAAAAAAAAAAAAAAAATGAAAGCCGAACTCTAAAATATTTCATATTAACAACGATAAATATAATACACATTTAATTTCATCCGCATCGATTATCATTATTATCATTATCACGAAAAACATCAATTTCCATTTTTATATTCCCCCCTCTTTCGCGTAATAAATCCCCCCGTTAATAAATCTTCATTATTTTCACGATCCAAGTTAATTCTTCATCGAACGCTCGAGAACAAATTTATCTATCCACCACCAGAATTTTTTTTTACTCTCTCCTCCTCGTTCGCAAAGAAGGGAAAAAAAGATAGAAAAGAAAGCTCTACTTCCTCGTAGTATTCAAACCGTATCCCACGCGAGGAGAGTTCGGAGAGAACGTGATCGTGAAAAGCGAATTCCCAGCATGGAAAACTAGAAGGAAGGAAGGAAGGGTCCTCGATTAAATATGGACCCCGTTTAACCCAATTCGTGGTGGTCGCAGGGGCGCGACCGTCCCTCCTCCTCCTCCTCCTCCTCCTCCTCGTTGGATTCGTGCAGGGCCCTTAAGCGGCTTAAATATTCGAGGCACGCGCAGCTGCTGCCATTCGTGTGCTTACGCGTACTTACGTCTTCCAACCCCCGAAAACGCAACTCGGATGGAGTCGTCGCACCACCCCCTCTCTCGAAATTTTTACAGAAATCGACACCATCGAATTTTGGCTCGATTCAGGATCGTGTCGTTGACGAGGAGGACCGGAAATCGATGCGAGTACTCGAACTCATTGGAGGGGGAGGGGGTGTTGGTCCGATGTTAGAGAGGAGCTAATAGGATTTTGGTGGTTACCGAATTTTGGCGGAACCGTGGTGATGCATAGTTGCCGGGTTAGTTGATCCTTTCAGGATTACACGTGGGCGTGTAACGAGGTATTGTTAATTTTGGGAGAAGGAGAGGGTAGTTTTCTTTTGTTTTGTTAAAATTATCAATACCTCGCGATTGAAGGAAGGAAGAGGAGAATGTTTGTAGTGAGAAGTACTGGAATATTTTCAATAATGGAGGAGATACGTAACTCTATATGGGGGGAGAGTTCACTCTTGAAAGGTCGTTGCATGGATTTTTAAACTGGAGGGGAGTTACGCGACGAGGAGTCGTTGTGAGGTTTCTGGTGAAACTTGACGCGGTTAGTTCGTCGTTTTTCGCTCGTTTTTCGCGCAATTTAAGAAGAACGAGAACACTTTTCAACCCCTAAGTCGAAACGGAGTTATATAGATCAGGATTAGAATTAAATCGAGAAAGGATATTTCAATATTTACTGATCTACTAATTTTTAAATGAGATTTAAATTTGAAGAAAACGTCGGGGAGGAGAAAAAAGAAGTCGGAGAATAAATTCTTCAGGCACGAAGCAGAACCACGTAGGCTGTTTATTTCGGTTCGCGCTGTTCGCCAAACACTTGGCCGTCGAACTGTAGAAAAATAAAAGCTGTTTCGTATCGAGTAATC